AAATCTGGCCTTTATGGAAGAGTGGTAAGAAGAAAGACATTGTTTAAAGCCATAAGAAGTCCCGTTTGCAGTTTGTGGGGGACACAGCAAACGTGGAAGAAGGTGCTCTGCTCAGATGAGACCAAAATTTTACTTTTGGGCCCTAAAGCACAACGCTGTGTGGTGGAAAACTAACATTGCACACATCATCCCCAACGTGAAACGTGGTGGCAGCATCATGTTATGGGGATGCTTTTCTTCAGCAGGGACAGGGAAGCTGGTAAGAGTTGATGGGTCCACCTTCCAGCAGGACAACAACCCTAAACATACAGCCAGACCTACAATGGAATGGTTTACATCAAAGCATATTCATGTATTAGAATGGTTCAGACCTAAATCCAAATGAGAATCTGTGGCAAGACATGAAAATTGCAGACGCTCTCCATCCAATCTGACAGAGCATGAACTATTTTGCAAATAATGGGCAAATATTTCACTCTCTTGATGTGCAAAGCTGGTAGAGACATCCCCAAAAAGACTTGCAGCTGTAATTGCAGTGAAAGGTGGTTCTACAAAAAGTATTGACTCAGTGGGGCTAAATACAAATGCACGCTATACGTTTCAGATATTTGTAAAAAAATTTGAAAATCATTTTCCTTCCACTTCACAATTATGTGCCGCTCTGTGTTGGTATATCACATAAAATCCCAATAAAATACATTTTACGTTTTTGGTTGTAAGAATATTTTTTCAAGGCACTGTATATACTACATGGTTGCTATCTAGTGGTGAAAAGTATAACACTATCTATTACCACATACGCTATGTTGCCAAAAGTATTGGGGCACCCCTTGAAATCATTGTATTCAGGGGTTCCAATCACCTCCATGGCCACAGGTGTATAAAATCGAGCACCTAGGCATGCAGACTGCTTCTACAAACATTTGTGAAAGAATGGGTCACTCTCAGGAGCTCAGCGTGGTGTACAGTTATAGGTTGCTACCTATGCAATAAGTCCATCTGTGAAACTTCCTTGCTACTAAATATTCCATGCTCAATTGTTATGCCCCGTACACACGATAAGAAAATCGTACTAAAAATTTTAGAAAACCACTGATCAAATTATGTTCTCTTCGTTAATGAGCAGGATGTTTTAACCAATAACATTATTGTGATTGAAAAAATACGGTTGAACAACAGTGAAAAATTGTCGTTTCGCATACGAACGACCTTATTTCTATGCAGTGGTATGATAGTCATATGAAAAAAATCTATCAAGCGCTATCACGCATGAGCGGAAACGGAAGATGACCCGGATGTTTATGTCCAAGGAATCTTCGTAAACACAAACGATAAATCTAGATGTTAAAAGTAGATTGTCCTAATGAGATAATGAAACCAGAATTATGGATATTATATTTTTATGTATCACTATTTATGTATATAGGTAATGTAATAAACTATATTATACTCATTGCTGTTACTTGTTGTGTATATTGCTTGTTCTGGTCAGAAGGCGTGGCTACAAGGTCACACACACACTGTATCACTTCCACTTGTACGGAAGACGTCAACACTATGTATTGCCCGACAAACTATTTTTGTAGATTGGTTAATGTGGGCCACGATTTCGACCAACAAACGCCGATCAGTCTTTTTTTTTTTTTTTTTTAAATTGTATATTCCCACCTTTAGTGGTATTAGAACAGTGGAAGCAACTGGGAACAGCAACTCTGCCACGAAGTGGTAGGCAATGTAAATTGACAGCAGAGTCGCCAACTGTCTGTAAAGTCAATAGGCAAAGACCTCAAAACTTCGTGTGGCCTTCAGATTGGCTCAGCCGAGCTTCAAGGAATGGGCTTCCATGGCTGAGCAGCTGCAGCCAAGCCTTGCATCACCAAATGCAATGCAAAGCGTCGGATACAGTGGTGTAAAGCAAGCAACCACTGGACTCGGAGCAGTGGATATGTGTTCTCTGGAGTGACGAATCACATTTCTGTGTCTGGCAATCCGATGGACGTGTCTGGGTTTGGTGGTTGCCAAGAGTATGGTACTTGCCTGACTGCATTGTGCCAAGTGGTCCTGTAAACTTTGGAGGAGGGGGGATTATGGTTTTGGGTTGTTTTTCAGGGGTTGGGTTTGGCCCCTTAGTTCAAGTGAAGTTGTCAACATACCAAGACATTTTGGACAATTTCATGCTCCCAAGTTTGTAGGAACAGTTTGGGGATGGCCCCTTCCTGTTCCAGTATGACTGCACACCAGTGCACAAAGCTAGGTCCTTAAAGACACATGGATGAGCGAGTTTGAAGTGGAGGAACTTGACAGGCCTGCACAGAGTCCTGACTGCAACCTGACAGAACACTTTTGGGATGAATTAGAGTGGAGACTGCGAGCTAGGCCTTCTCATCAGTGCCGGACCTCACAAATGCGCTTCTGGAAGAATGGTCAAACATTCCCATAGACACATTCCTAAACCTTGTGGACAGCCTTCCCAGAAGAGTTGAATCTGTTTACAGCTGCGAAGGGTGGGCTAACTCAATATTGAATAAGTATAAATCAGCACATATATATATATATATAAAATCCTCTATCAATATCCTTCCCCTGAAGTACTAATAAAACATATATTCATTGACTTAAACTCAAAACCCACAATTATAGTGAAAAAATCAAGACCCAAAGATTACCCAAAAATAAAAAATATCAAATATATATAAAAGAACAAAAATAAAATAAAGTCCCAATATGCAAAGTGTCCAAATAATGTGTCCAAACAAAGATCAATTTCTTGATAGGAAGAAGCTTCCTACTCCACTGAAGAAGATGCAGATCAATCACAGGTGCTCTTCAAATACCTCAAAAAACAAAATCTCAACATAGTATATTACCTTTTAAATCCCAGAACTAAAGTGCCACACGTGTATCATGCAAAAAAAAACACTCCAGTGTCACAGCACTCGTGAAAAAGAAAAAAAAATAAAAAAATTTTAAATATCACTGCAAACTATATATAAAGTGCATAATTACCCTAAAACAAACAAATTCCAGCTTGTAATCAACCACATATGTACAGAGTGTCCTTAGATTGGTATCCTCTTGTTCCTCAGGACCTCACAAACAGACCAGGAATCAGTATGTGAATTATAATCATATATAAAATTTATTGTAGCCACTTACATATAAAAACGATAAGATCAGCAAGACAGCATCAAACTCCTCATGCCCAGTATACGATCCCCTTTCCGTGTGTAGAGGGTCTACACACTCGTCTCTTCCGGACTTTGTGAACAAGGATCCTTGTTGACAGTCCGGAAGAGATGAAACGCGTCCAGGGCACGTGACGTTCCAGGAAGTGCTGCGGCAGCCATTTTGGATTCTGGAATCCCTGTGTGTTGGAGGTCTGGAGAGTAACGGTGCACTTCAGGTGTCCCCCAGAGCTACAAAGTGATAGTGCTGGATAGGAGTAGCAAGGGGGAATTACCTGGTGATCGGGAGACCCTCTACACACGGAAAGGGGATCGTATACTGGGCATGAGGAGTTTGATGCTGTCTTGCTGATCTTATCGTTTTTATATGTAAGTGGCTACAATAAATTTTATATATGATTATAATTCACATACTGATTCCTGGTCTGTTTGTGAGGTCCTGAGGAACAAGAGGATACCAATCCAATCATGTGGTTGATTACAAGCTGGAATTTGTTTGTTTTAGGGTAATTATGCACTTTATATATAGTTTGCAGTGATATTTAAAAATTTTTTTTTTTTTCTTTTTCACGAGTGCTGTGACACTGGAGTGTTTTTTTTTTTTTTTTTTGCATGATACACGTGTGGCACTTTAGTTCTGGGATTTAAAAGGTAATATACTATGTTGAGATTTTGTTTTTTGAGGTATTTGAAGAGCACCTGTGATTGATCTGCATCTTCTTCAGTGGAGTAGGAAGCGTCTTCCTATCAAGAAATTGATCTTTGTTTGGACACATTATTTGGACACTTTGCATATTGGGACTTTATTTTATTTTTGTTCTTTTATATATATTTGATATTTTTTATTTTTGGGTAATCTCTTTGGGTCTTGATTTTTTCACTATAATTGTGGGTTTTGGGTTTAAGTCAATGAATATATGTTCTAACTCAATATTGAACCCTACGGACGAAGTCTGGGATGCTATTAAAGTTCACATGCATGTAATGGCAGTCATTCCAATACTTTTGGCAACAGTGTATATTGTTACTATTATATATGATTTTTATATGGTATTGATATGTAAAAGGATGAATGGCGGTATAAGATCCCACTCTTCCTTTTTAGCACATGGTACCTAACGGGTAATTTAATTTTTTCTATATTATTTAGACTTTTGGGCGTTGATGGTGAGGTATAAATATTTCTCCTATATATAGGTTTTTTTTTTTGTTTTTTTTTAATGTAGCCTATAATGATACCTGTATTGGGAAGTTTAAAAACCTCCCATGGTATGGCGTTTTTTTTTTTTTTTTTAGGTGAGGGGTATAGAGGAGTACAGCGTTAGTCTGGATTTTAATATACAATTAAGTTTGTGCCCTTTAGATATTCTATTATGGGATATTCTAGTACAGTTGTGTTCAAAATAATAGTCAGACATCACTAACCTGATCAATCACTGTTTTTGGTAGAAATGATATTTCTACATGGCAAATAATTTACTAGCAGGTGTAGTAGAGTAATAGAAATCCAACAGACCCAACAGTCATGACATGAATGCTGCTGATTCTGTGTAATTGAATCACTAATTGAAAGGGGCATGTTCAAAATAATAGCAGTGTGGAGTTCTGTTAGTGAGGTCATTCATTCTTTGAAAAACAGGTGGCAATTATTGCCCTTATATAAGGAAGGAAGGCAGCAAATGTTGTACATGCTGGTTACAGTGCATTCCTCTCTGAAAATCTGGGGAAAATGGGTTGTTCCAGACATCGTTCAGAAGAACAGCGTACCTTGATTAAAACGTTGAGAGGGGAAAACATATAAAGAAGTGCAGAAACTGATAGGCTGCTCAGCTAAAATGATCGCAAATGCTTTAAAATGGCAATCAAAACCTGAAAGACGTGGAAGAAAGCGAGAAACTACCATTCGAATGGATAGAAGAATAGCCAAAATGGCAAGGACTCAGCCAACAATCAGCTCCAGGAAGATCAAAGAAGGTCTAAAGTTATCTGCGAGCACTGTTACAATTAGACGCCTATGTGAAGCCAAGCTATCTGCAAGAAGCCCCCGCAAAGTCCCACTGTTGAAAAAAAGACGTGCTGAAGACGTTACAATTTGCCAAAGAGCACATTGACTGGCCTAAAGAGAAATGGCGCAACATTTTGTGGACTGATGAAAGTAAGATTGTTCTTTTTGGGTCTAGTGGCCGGAGACAGTTTGTCAGACGACCCCCAAACACTGAATTCAAGCCACAGTACACTGTGAAGACAGTGAAGCATGGTTGCACAAGCATCATGATATGGGGATGTTTCTCATACTACGGTGTTGGGCCTATTTATCGCATATTAGGGATCATGAATCAGTTTGAATACATCAGAATACTTGAAGAGGTCATGCTGCCTTATGCTGAAGAGGAAATGCCCTTGAAATGGGTGTTCCAACAAGACCAAGACCCCAAAAACACCAGTAAATGTGCAACATCTTGGTTCCAGATCAACAAGATTGACGTTGTGGAGTGGCCAGCCCAATCCCCGGATCTTAATCCAATAGAAAACTTGTGGGGTGACATCACAAATGCAGTTTCTGAGGCAAAACCAAGAAATGAAGAAGAATTGTGGAATGTAGTCCAATCATCCTACGCTGGAATACCTGTTCACAGGTGCCAGAAGTTGGTTGACTGCATGCAACACAGATGTACAGCAGTTCTCAGAAACAGTGCTTATACAACTAAATATTAAGTGATTCAAAGGAAAGCAAAATCTTCAAACATTTTTCAGTTTATATAGTGAATGTTTGAGTTTGTTAAAAAAAAAAATAGCAGTGTTTTGTATTCTTCTTTACAGTCTAATATTCACTTTTCTTCAATTTTTTTAGAGCAACACAAATTTGATATTTTTCTTCATGTTTTGATTTGGAATAGAATGTGTAGTGTTCCCAATGCATTTGTGTGTATGGAAATAAAAGCTATTAGAAGGATTTTGAGCTTTATTCACTTTTTTCAACACACTTTTTTTTTTGGTCTCCAATATGGAGGCTTGGGGGTGGATGTGTATCTTCATTCCTAATGGTGATGTATTCTCCAATATGGATTCCCTGTAGGTCCTCTAGTGCAGTGGTCTCCTAACAGCAGCCCAGAAGCCAGATGTGGCCCTTTACTAGCCTTTATCTGGCCCTTGAGGCACTATTCCTTCCTGGGGTATAGTTCCTGCCACTGATACTGATGATGGGGCACTATTCCTCCCACTGACACCAACGATACGGCACTATTTCTTCTGGTTCTACTGTTCTTCCCAGTAATACTAAATATGGGCCACTATTCCTCCTCCTACTGACCTCTGATACTCTATAACTGACTACTAACCCTGAGGCAAAGTTTCATCTCCCTGTTACTGGGACCCTGGACATTTTTTACCCCCACTGGTCACAATTCAGCCCTCCTAAAGTCTGAAGGACAGTAAAACTGGCCCTTTTTGTTTAGAAAGTTTGGAGACCCCTTCTCTAGTGGGTGATATTTGATATACAATAAAATGACGCCTGTTGCTTAGTGATGAGGGGCGGATATAAATGACACACTACTTCCTGGCTACATTCGTCTGAAGCAGTCATGATTGGATTACGAGAAACTTCAAGGGCATGTCCAGATGACGAGAAACTTCAAGGGCATTGCCGGATGACGTCATCGCGCAAACAGGACTGGAAGTCAGCCAGAGGTGTCTGAAGCCAAAATCCGGGCTTAAGGGGGAAATTGTCTGTTTTTAAAGAGGCAATCTATTCTGTGTGCACTGGATGTAATGCACTCAGTTTTGTTAGTGAGTTTTTAACCCTTTCAATAAACTATGGGAAGTTTATATGTTCTTTTTATTCTTTTGACTAAATTTATGGCGGAATGGTGGTTTCATGAGAGGATAAGGCACCGGCAAAGCTGCATGTGAAACAGAGCACTTTTAAAGGGCAAGGCGCATATTGACCTAGTGTAACCTATCAAAACCTGAGGTAAGCAGCCTGTTTGGAAGGTGGCAGAAGCACTTTGTATGGTGGTTATTCTTCCAAATATGTGCATCGGTGGATATTTTTTCATTTATATGGATTCTAATTTTTTTTCAATCACCTGTATTTTAATAAGTTTGTGGATGTCTTTTTATATGAGTTTTATGTAGTCACATGGTTTCATCTGATTTGTAGGGTTATTTGATTGCGTGGAGTTTTATTTATATATTTCTTTGGTGTGGGAACACATGACAGCTGCTGCAATGAACTTGGATTTTTTAATATTTTTTTTCTTTACTTCACATTTTTTTGTGGTAGCATGGGAGTTTGATTTAGTTTATTTTGCCAGTGTATGTCCTTTCTGGCTTTAGCCCTCAGACCTTCTGAGCCCCAATGCACCCTTTCTTACCCCTTCCATGGCTGGAGCTTACCAGTTCCAGGGTTAAGCGTCTCATATGCACTCCCTTTCCTAGGTTTTGACTTTGCAGGTGACTTTATTGCCAAATTGTATTGGGAAAGACTGCAGTCCCCCTGTTCATAGTTTCTTGGCTGGTCCCTCTTCCTCTCTACCTATGGTATTTGGCGCTGTTTTTTTGTTTTTTTTCTTGCTCAGCCGCCTTCCTTAGCCCATGGATCTGAAGCAGCTTGGGCAGACAATTTCCTGATATCCTTACTAAGCAGATATTCCCTATGTTGATGCATTCTGTCCTTAAACTGGATTCCCCCTTACATCTTAATTCAGACAGGTTAGGTTAGTTCCCCTACGCTGATTGGTAAATTAGCTCCACCTTTTGGAAAAGCCTAATTCCCTACTTGTCCCTCATTCTATATATTCCTTGATCTGGTTCAGCCTACAGCATTTTGATTGTGACATTGTAGGTCCTTGTTAACCTTGCACAGTCACCCTTTCAACTGTAGTAGGCTCTTCCTCGTCACCTGCTGGGACTCTGCAGAATTTCAAAGCCATCCTGAGCCCTGTTTTTGGTTAATATTTTTTATATAAAATTAAGTAGCATACAAAAAGTATTTAAGAGAAATTGCTCATATTCTTGAAGAGTAGGTTGAATACAGTGTTACACAACATGATGCAACAAACAGGCCTGCGCAAAGCTGCATAAACCAGGAAACTTGTTATTTCATCAAAAATAAGCATTACTTTCCAGTTTCCACAGATTGAAAGTCAATTGAACTTAAGAGGTCAGTAACAAGATGAATTGGCGATCCGCGCATGCTCTGAAATTTGTCGTAGCCCCCTCCTGACATCACTTCCGGCCCATGTGTTCCACCGGCAGTCCCAGAAGAGCGACGGCCATCTCGGATCTGTACTCTCTGCTCCCCCTGCAGCTGCTGGCCGGCACAGCGCATGAGGGAAACAGTGACTCCTGTACTCCTACACAGGAGATTTCACTATAATGAGCCTTTATGCATCAATTATTTTGTGTTTTATTATAAACTGCTGGAATACTGTACTTAGAAGCACCTTTCTGTTTTTCTCCCGCTTTTAGTCTTGAAAAAGCTGCCTCGGCCCTTCCTAGTCTAATGTTGCATAGTGTTCCACATCCTCAGCATGTTTATGATCCGTCTGAGCAGAGGCACCCTATGACTTTCTCCTGAATGACAGATGTGGACCTCTTGGTCTCCAGGTGCAACAACATACTGGAAAGGTTTTTATCTGGGTGCAAGAATCTAGCAGAAGCAGAGTGCAGATATAATCCATAAAGTGCATAAATAAATTAAAATGTCTTTTTGTGCAATCTGCAGATGAACTCCTTAATCCCTCTTTCCAGGTGCCGTGTAGTCACAATATGCGCTCACCTTAATATTTGCCCAAATAAATTTAGGCAAATAAACTTTTAGTCCTTCCAGGACTGGTGGGTAATGCTCCTATATATAGTATTCCAGATGGAAGTGAAGGTCTGCTCAGATCCTCCTATGATCTCCTCTTACTCCATACAAGTAGCCACTCATGGATAGACATTTGGAAAATGTGTGAAAATCTCCTATTTCCCCTCCTGGGGACACCTCCTCCTCATATCCACCTTTCCTCAGTGTGGGATATATAAATCTTTTCTCATCAGCAGTTAGAGCAGTTTTTTGACGTCTATCAGTATCCAGCAGAGGACTGTTTAAAGCTTGTATGCGCAGTTATCTTCTTTGCCCTGCATTGGTTTAGACAGGGGCAGACTGACCATTTGGAAACTCGGGCACTGCCCGGGGCCAGTAGGGGACCCCATGAGATGCCCCCTGGTACCTTTTTCATAGGCTTTTTTGAGTTTGGGCAAGGACACAGGGGCCCCACGATCCCCTATTGCCCGGGGGCCCCATGAGTTGTCAGTCCACCCCTGGGTCTAGATAAATTATGTACTCTGTACTAATTTAATATCCTGCTTTTCGATCGCTGGCTTTGACGGCATTGAAATCTAGGTTTTAAAGGACACCAGTCTGTGGTATTCAAGGCTAAAAATGAAAGCTCCCTCAATGTCTAGCATTCAATGCAGATGGCATACCTCACTTATTGAATCCAGAGAATTTTTAAAGACAAATTTCTTTATTATTTTGCATAAATTTAACAGACAGAGCATGAGAAGTATAAAGAACATGTACAAGTAAACAGAAAAGCATCAGAGATGTGGCTATGACCCATGTGGATGTGTGAAAATGATGCAGTAAAACTTCAAGAAGGAGGGATCAATAGCCCATATTACGGAGGTATAATATAATAAAGTATCGGGGGTATCCCCGGGTGAGATGTATAGAACAATATGAGAGAACTCCGTACAACCAAAAATGTAAACCTAAACTGAGAAAGAGAAGGGAGAAAGAAGGAAAAAAGCCAGTGGAAAGGATATCAAAAAAGGAGGAGAGAAGAGAGGGGATTGGGAGACTGGGATGGCAGAAAGCAACAGTAGGGTGGCTCCCATCTGAATCTCACCTAAGCGACCCCTCCGCCCGCATCACGGCACGGACCGCAGGGTCCAATCGGCAGATAAGCCAAAATGAAAATGAGTCGGGGGAGCAAGGCTTAACTCCACTAGAGCGCAACGGGAGAACGCATATCTCGGAGAGTTGCAGAGGAGGAGAAATGGAGCCAGACCAACCACCGCAACTTATGTTTATCATAGTTATCATTGGTAAATGCCAGAATTTTTCTCCAAACGCATTAAGCACGGAGACCCACATCGGGACAGAGAATTTTTAAAGGATAAGTTCACATTTGAAAAAAACATGCAATTTGTTTTCGCTGGTAAAAAAGTGTATTTATTTTGCTAAGGAGCCAGCGGAGCATTGCACCTGCGATCAGCAGATCACTG